GACTGTGTGGGTCTCTGTCTTCGTACCCAGCTGTCTGTCTGTGTGTCTTGGTGACTGTGTGACTGTGTGGGTCTCTGTCTTCGTACCCAGCTGTCCGTCTGTGTGTCTTGGTGACTGTGTGACTGTGTGGGTCTCTGTCTTCGTACCCAGCTGTCTGTCTGTGTGTCTTGGTGACTGTGTGGGTCTCTGTCTTCGTACCCAGCTGTCCGTCTGTGTGTCTTGGTGACTGTGTGACTGTGTGGGTCTCTGTCTGAGATCTTCTTACCCACCTGTCTGTCTGGGTGGCAGTCTGTCCGTCCCGCTCATCCACATGGGCAGGTGCCCCAGTGCCCCCGTCTGCCCGTCCACCCGCCCCCCTGCACCCCCATGACTGAGTACTACGAGGAGGGGGGGCTCCTGTACGAGCGCAGCGCCCCCGTGAGGGTGAAGGTGGAATCGCCGGAGCAGCTGCTCAAGGCTGGGGCTCTCTCAGAGGACGGGTTCCCCGGAGACGAGGAAGAGGAGGAGGATGACGAGGCCGGCTGCGACAGGGACGGGGGGCCGGCTGGTGAGCTCCCCTTCAACGTGGTGGTGGTGCACCCCAACACGGTAGAGCCGGGGATCCCCACAGATGACTACACCCTCCCCGAGCAAAGTAAGACCCCCGTTCGTCTTCTTTTGTTTCCCTTTAGATTGAACGTGTCCTCTTTTAATACATCATGACTCACACACCGCGATGGACTGGACTGGACTGGACTGGACTGATTGGACTGACTGGACTGGACTGGACTGGACTGGACTGGACTGACTGGACTGGACTGACTGGACTGGGAGCTGGACTAGTGACTCACTGGGATTATAATCAGACTCACTGACTCTGAGAGCAGTCTGAGACTCTCCAGGCTGGACTGGACTGACTGGACTGGACTGGGAGCTGGACTAGTGACTCACTGGGATTATAATCAGACTCACTGACTCTGAGAGCAGTCTGAGACTCTCCAGGCTGGACTGGACTGACTGGACTGGGAGCTGGACTAGTTCAGGTTCAGGTCAAACCGAGGCCAGTACCGGTCCGGTCCGCGGTTCTGGTCGGGCTGGGTGAGCCGTGCCTGGCGCTGACGCCCGCGTCCCGTTCGCAGACGGCGCGGTCGCGGGGGGCAAGCGGAAGAGCCGCTTCAGCGGGGCGGAGCTGGAGGTGCTGGTGTCGGAGGTGACGAGCCGCGAGGGCGAGCTGTTCGGGCCGGCGGGCCGGCTGCGGCGCCGAGAGCGGGAGCGCATCTGGGCCGACATCCTGGAGCGCGTCAACGCCGTCTCCCGCGTGCCCCGCACCCTCCGCGAGGTCAAGAAGCGCTGGGACGACCTGAAGAGGCGCAACGGGGGCCGGCTGGCGGACGCCCGCCACCGCCGCCGCTGCCCGCCCCAGAGGGAGGCCCTCCCTGCGGGCCGCGGTGGGCCGGCGAGCCCCAGGCTTCAGGCCCGACACAGGCCCGGTACGGCCAGGGGCAAGGCCAGCACCGGAGTCTGCACTCCCGCGGCAGGTAGGAGGAGAGACTCTGTCCCTCTGTCACTCCAGCGCCCCCTGTGTGTGGTTTTTAGCAGAGTGAGGACACTGTAGCGCCCCCTGTGTGCAGAGTGAGGACACTGTAGCGCCCCCTGTGTGCAGAGTGAGGAGACTCTAGCGCCCCCTGTGTGCAGAGTGAGGACACTGTGGCGCCCCCTGTGTGCAGAGTGACGACACTCTAGCGCCCCCTGTGTGCAGAGTGACGACACTCTAGCGCCCCCTGTGTGCAGAGTGAGGAGACTCTAGCGCCCCCTGTGTGCGGAGTGAGGAGACTGCCCAGTCCTCAGCAGTGAGGAGGATGAATGAGCAGCTCTCGGATGAAGATCTGGACTGTACTCATGCAATAAATCCTTGATATATGATATGTTAAGAGTTTGTCTAAGGGGTTTAGTCATTATTGTACAGATTTGCTTGTGCGGTCCACAAGATCATGTGGACGAATGACTTGAGGGTTTGTCTCTCTCTCCGTCTGTCCGCTCCCCCTCTCTCCTTCCCTCCTTCCCTCCTCTCTTCTTGATCCTTCTGCCCCCATCTCTCTCTCTCTCTCTCCCTCCTGTTTCCTGCACTCCTCTCGCCCTCTCTCACCTCTCACCTCCTCTCTCTCCTGCCCCCCTCTCTCACCCTCTCTCTTCCTCTCGCCCTCTCCCCAGGGGCAGGTCTGGGGCTCCCAGCGGAGAGAGGGGACGAGGAGCGAGAGGGAGATGAGGGAGTGGAGGAGCTGAAGGGAGGAGTGGGGGGGCAGGAGGAAGACGGCGGAGAGGAAGAAGGGGAGAGCACGGAGGACAGACTGGGCCTGGGGGTGGGCGTGGGGGTGGAGTTGGGACCCTCCTCTGCAGAGCGCTGGCTGCCGCCCTCCCCCCTCTACAGTGCCCCCTTTCTCAACGGGACGCCACACCCCAGCCCCCCGCCACCCCCCATCCCGCCAGACCTTGTGGGGGCCCCTCGTGGCCCCTGGTTGGAGGAGGAGCTTCGTGGGCTGAGCGAGGCCGCAGTTCGCCTGGGGGACCAGGTGGAGCTGAGCCTGAGGGAGTGGGGGGAAGCTTTTCAGCGCGACGCGCGGACTCTCGCAGCCTCGCAGGAAGCCCTGGCCGCCAGCCTGCAGCAGAACAACATCCTCCTGCAGAGGCTGCTGGGAATTCTGGAGAGACAGCAGCCGCAACCCCAGCCCCCTCCTGCACCGCCACCACCCCCTGATCTCCTGGATGGTACAGCCCAGCCTGATCCACTGCCAGCAGCATCCGGGAGGATCCAACGGCCACGGCGGGGGAGGCCAGGCGATCAGAAGAGACGTCGAAGACGCCATGTTTGAAATCAAAACAGGAAAAGGACAACGACAAAAACTATTTTGCCTTTTTCTTTTATTTTATTACCTTAAGAAGATACTTGTTGAATCTGCTGATGGAGTAAAGTCCAGTCCAGCTTGGAGAGTCTCAGACTGCTCTGTCAGTGTCAGTGTGAGTCTGATTATAATCCCAGTGAATCACTAATCCAGCTCCCAGTCCAGTCAGTCCAGTGCACTGGAGTGGTTAAGTCATTTATATCGAATGTTAAAAGACAATCACTTGGCAGCTTCAGAAGTTCACTAGAGTCGACCTTTCGTTTTCATAAAAGTGTGTTGAAGATTTTAAATTGTGTTGTTGGAGCATGCTCTGGTTTCCTCCTATAGTTAAAGACATGCTGGTGGGTTAATTGGCTTCTGGGAAAACTGGCCCTGGTGTGTGTGTCTGTGTGTGTCCTGTGATGGACTAGCCCTGGTGTGAGTGTGTGTCTGTGTCTGTGTGTCTCCTGTGATGGACAGGCCCTGGGGTGTGTGTGTGTGTCTCCTGTGATGGACTGGCCCTGGGGTGAGTGTGTGTGTCTGTGTGTCTTCTGTGATGGACTGGCCCTGGGGTGAGTGCGTCTGTGTGAGGCAGAACTCCCAGCTGTCATTGATACACAGCGCCAACTCGTGTCTCATCTGACTTCATCCTCCGCCCTGTATCTACATAATATATATATATCTGTACAAACTTACGGTTTTGCAACGAACTGATTACTTCAAAAAGAGCATAATGCAAAAAGGACACTAACAGAACACATTTATATGATGGGCGGCCCATAGTGGGGGGTTCGGGGTCCTGGCCTCTCCCCGGGACACGGGTCCGAAAACTTCTGGTCCTGCGGGAAGAGAGTGCCCCCTACTGGTGCACCTGCTGCAATGACAGCCGCCACCCGGCTTCCTCTCACCCCCAGTACCGACGCGCCCTTTGAATCTTCTTTTTGAGCTCCTTAATCATGAGCTGGTAATGAGGTAAAAGAAAAGTAAAACATGGTATTCAGGTCTCTAGTTCATCGGCTGAGCCCGACTATGAGAATATGGAGTTTGTCCACAAGAACCGGTACATTTTTACCACGCAAACCTTCCCCGCGGGTCCTAACGCACATCACCGCCCTGGGGGGAGCCTTCCAAACAAACGGTGTGGTTTGTGTGGGAAAATGCGAAATAAAAACCGGTCCAGAAGCGCGGCTCTTGACACAGCAGAGACCGCTTCTCGTCTGCAGGGTAACGTCACACGCCTGGAGGCTTGTGCGGCGAAGGGGGTGGAGACGGAGGGCAGTGTTGGCCCAACATGGCCGGTGTGTGCGTGCAGAAGCCCCGGGACGGCGCCCTGGACGGGCCGCTGCCGGGCCCGCAGGACCCCCGCGCTTCGCTGAGCCCCGCCGGGGCCGCCGGCGGATCGGCCCCCGTCCCACGCAGCCGCGACGGTGAAGCCGGGGAGGGCAGCGGAGCGGCGGCTGGCAGCGGCGGGGTCCTGAAAGCCCCGGTGCCGGCGAGAGAAAACACCACCGCGGCTCTTTCAGCCCCGGCGGAGGCCTCGGCGATCCTCGGCCTCGCCTGCGCCAGCCAGCGGGGACAGGCGCGTTCCGAGCCGGCGCCGGCACTCGGGCAGATCACGGGAACAAGCGAGAATCGCAAAAACACGGGTGAGAGAAGGGGAGGAAGTTCTATGACCTTACGCCGGTCAGCAACCATACAAAAAATGTTTTTTTTTGTTGTTTTTAGCTATTTACGGTTGTAGTTGAGTCTATTGTATTAACCAGGATAGTCACGTTGTCTTAAGAGCACAGAGTGAACATCGATGAACTAAAGAAGCATTCGGAAATCATTAAAAAAAAAACATGTAGTTTTACTAATTATTGCTGTTAGTACTCGAACCTTCGGTGGCAGAACTTCCTTAACAAAGAAGCAGGGAACCTATTTCAAACACTATTCCTTCAATAATGTTTATGTGTCGAGCCCTGGCGTCTTCACTCCCTCTGTCTTTGTGTGGTTTGGCTGTATTGCCAGTTATCTGTTAATAAACAGATAATTAATTAGGGGCGGATGGGTGCGTGTTGCTTGTGTGTGGCCGGTGCACTATCCGGCCGGTCCGCACGCCTTGAGCTCTTCCCAACTCCTGCTCTCCCTGTTCCGCGGCGGAACCCTTAATTGACGACTGGGAGACGATAGACTCGATGCCTGACTGATGAGGACAGGTATAACCTGGGGAGATGTGCTTGCCCACGGTTCATTGGGTGTGATGAAATGGGGGACGCAGTGGTCCGCACTGCTGCCTGTCAGCGTGGGGGGCCCCGGGGTGCTGTCTGTGGGGAGTCTGCACGGTCTCCCGGTGTCAGCGGACTTTTCCTTCGATGCTTTTCCTCCCACGCTCCCGTGGTGGACTGGTGTCCAGTCCAGGGGTTGTGAGCCTGTGTCCCGTGGTGGACTGGTGTCCAGTCCAGGGGGTGTGAACCTGTGTCCCGTGGTGGACTGGTATCCAGTCCAGGGTGTACCCCGCTTTGTGCCTGTTGCTCACTGGGATGGGCTCCATCTTCCTCAGACCCTGTACTGGGTAGAGTGGTCGGGAAATGGATGGGTGTCCTATATGCGCAGGCGGGGCAGTGTCCCAGGACAGGAAGACACGCCGAGCAGCGCGCTTCTCCTGTGTGCGGTGACGGTGCCGAGGATGGCGGGGGCTGACCGGTGGGCCGCTGTCCGTGTCGTTCCAGGCTCTGCGGCGGAGGGTCCGGGCTGCGCGGTGTCCGGGGGGAGGAGGAGGAGGAGGAGTCCGGAGAGCCGGGGCAGCGGGAAGAGGAAGAGGAGTGCCGCCACTGGCGGGGGGCAGCCGACGGCCCGCCCCCGCCGCCGGCGCGCCCCGGAGAAGCTGTACCGCTGCCCGCTGTGCCGCCAGGAGTTCCAGTACCGCGTGTCGGTGAACGCCCACATGAGGGCGCACTCCCTGGAGAGCCCCTTCCGCTGCCTGGAGTGCGGCAAGGGCCTGCCCTCCGGCCCGGCGCTGCACGCGCACCAGCGCTCCCACGCCGCGCTCAAGCCCTACGAGTGCCCCGAGTGCGGCGCCGCCTTCCGGCACCGCTCGGCGATGGCGGCCCACCGGCGCCGGCACTGGGCCCGCCGCCCCTTCCAGTGCAGCCTGTGCGGCAAGCGCTTCCGGCTCGGCGGCCACCTGCTCC